TTACCCGTACTTATTGTCGTAGTACTCTCCTGACGAATACTAGTAACGTTATCTTTACCTGTACTTATTGTCGTAGTACAGGTAAAGAGAACGTTATTATTACTCGTCAGGGGAGTACTACGACAATAAGTAGAGGTAAAGAGAACGTTACTAGTACTCGTAAGGAGAGTACTACGACAATAAGTACAGGTACAGAGAACGTAACTAGTACTCTCCTGACGAGTACTAGTTACGTTCTCTTTACCTGTACTTATTGTCGTAGTACTCTCCTGACGAGTACTAGTTACGTTCTCTGTACCTGTACTTATTGTCGTAGTACTCTCCTGACGAGTAATAATAACGTTCTCTTTACCTGTACTTATTGTCGTAGTACTCTCCTGACGAGTACTAGTAATGTTCTCTTTACCTGTACTTATTGTAGTAGTACTCTCCTGACGAATACTAGTAACGTTATCTTTACCTGTACTTATTGTCGTAGTACTCTCCTGACGAGTACTAGTAACATTGTCTTTACCTGTACTTATTGTCGTAGTACTCTCCTGACGAGTATAAGTAACGTTCTCTTTACCTGTACTTATTGTCGTAGTACTCTCCTGACGAGTTCTAGTAACGTTCTCTTTACCTGTACTTATTGCCGTAGTACTCTCCTGACGAGTACTAGTAACGTTCTCTTTACCTGTACTTATTATCGTAGTACTCTCCTGACGAGTACTTGTAACGTTCTCTTTACCTGTACTTATTGCCGTAGTACTCTCCTGACGAGTATAAGTAACGTTCTCTTTACCTGTACTTATTGCCGTAATACTCTCCTGACGAGTACTAGTAACGTTCTCTTTACCTGTTCTTATTGTCTTAGTACTCTCCTGACGAGTACTAGGTAACGTTCTCTTTACCTGTACTTATTGTCGTAGTACTCTCCTGACGAGTACTAGTAACGTTCTCTTTACCTGTACTTATTGTCGTAGTACTCTCCTGACGAATACTAGTAACGATCTCTTTACCTGTACTTATTGTCGTAGTACTCTCCTGACGAGTACTAGTAACGTTCTCTTTACCTGTACTTATTGTCGTAGTACTCTCCTGACGAGTACTAGTAACGTTCTCTTTACCCGTACTTATTGTCGTAGTACTCTCGGTACAAGTATCTTATTTTATATTTTAAATCGCAGATCTCAGCGGTAGGTATTCGTTATACTACAGATGGTAAGTCGAGAGCTAAATGCTTCAGTTTAGTGTTACTCACCGATCTAAAAGGTGAATGTTCTGAGGCGTTAGAGACAAAGGTATGTGTGTCTTCAAAAATAACAAGATGAATATCTATTCTGATCGGCAACGAAGGTATGTATGGAGGAAGTCGCCTACATTTCCATCACATATAAAGCGTCTCTTTAATATGACCTTGACCAGTGAAAACTGTAAACGTGCCTTTCTCCTTTTTTAAACCAGATTTAAAAAACCAAAGACCGTTATCTTGAGAATATCTCTCTGGGAATAAGTACAGAGAGAAACAACCGCATTCCCTTTTTAATTCTATCGGGATTTTCAGACAGACCTGCAGTGTCTTGATAAAATGTATTTGATCACAGATATTTATGGCACGAACCCCGTTATCTCGAGGTTTGTTGATGGTCTAAAGAGATCGAAACAGCCGCGACTGACTGTATACTGGAAAGTACCGATTGGACTGCTGAACTTATACATAAGAAATTTCCGGGGAAAGAACTTGTGATAGGTTTGGATGGAAAGGGATGCTAAATGGCCCATACACATGTAATGACACAGAGAGAATAAGAAGAAAGAAATATAGGAATGTAAATAATTGTTGATTCCGTTGTCAAAATTCCACTAGCATAACTTTTTACTTAGCAGTCTCTATAATTAGGTTACAAAATTGTTCAAAGCATTTTTCCCATTTTCTTTACTGTCGTCTGTAGGAGAAAATGAGGGCTTTCAAACGGCTTTAACTCTTTCGATCAGATTCACGCAACAGGATTATGTGAGATTAAAGAGATAACAACTGCACAGACTTCTCTGTCCGACAAAGGAAAATGGTATAAGATTTTTTATTGTAAATACAAATAAGTATAAAACATGTATACAGCAGATCGCTATGATCTTTTCACTGTTTTCAGAAATATTATTACATAATTATATAAAACTGGTTCTCGTTGATGCACTCATGTACATGGTAGCATTAATTCTTTACTTAAATGCTAAACTAATTTTGATATACACATAAAAGTTAGATGGTTAGTTTTTACATACTGGTTTATTTATTTATTTATTCTACAAAAATAATAAGATTAAAACAACATAAATATAGAGAATGAGCTCAAATAATGGTATTTCATATAAAAAAAACGTATAAATAACACGATGTTTTATGTACATTTGCTATAAAACAGTGATCAAAACGAACAAATCAAAAATTATCAAAAATAATAAAAAAAAGTATCTAAAATTTAAAAGTTTCTAAAATGAAGCATTGCTAAATACTTGTGTAACTTTCGTATTGTCTATAACGCTCACGTGCCCTATCCGGGAATACAGACACGTTATGTACAATAGCTCCTGATATACATCCCCTTTACAAAGATTCCCGAATCAGTGAATTCATGTTATCAATAATTTGATCATGAATAACCAATTGATATGATATTTTGCAGCAAAAACAAAAAAAGTATATTTGAAATGGTCGAAAGGTTAAGTTGATAGTTTACAAGATGATATTGTAAAATATAAACAAATCACGGGAGTAAAGGATAAAAACAACACATACTCTTGAATGTGTAAAATATGATACATATCCTGATATTCGATGAGAGGTAAGATGAATATTTCGATTAAGATGACATATATATATAAGTTCAAATACATACATAATATTTGTACAATCAGCTAAATTACGTTCTTTTACTCAGAACATCAATAATTCCTGTTAAATTATACATCAAGTATTTATATTATATAGCTATCCTTATGCCTATAAAACACATTGTGACACATGTTTCCAGCCGTACTTGATATGATTAGAACAACTCATTATCTCTGTCAGTTAGTAACTCGTATCAATAAAATTCAAAAACACCTACGATTGCTGACAATAGTATTCACCATAACTGACAATACTATATACAATTGATGACTAAACAACCTTCTAAGGTTGACAATTGATGACTAAACAACCTTCTAAGGTTGACAATTGCACAAACCATAGCTGACAATTACACAGACTATATCTGACACTAGCGTATACTACAGCTGACAACAACACTTATCATACTGACCATACCACATATCGTAACTGACCATAACACCTAGCATAACTGACCATACCACATATCGTAACTGACCATAACACCTAGCATAACTGAAAATAACACATAGCATAACTGACACTTACATCCACCAAAGCTGTCAATAACACTTACCATACTGACAATACAGTAGCACATATCGTAGCTGACGATAACACACACTATAGCTGACAAAAACATCCACCAAAGCTGTCAATAACACTTACCATACTGACAATACAGTAACACATATCGTAGCTGACGATAACACACACTATAGCTGACAAAAACATCCACCATAGCTGAGAGCTACAGATACCATACCTGACCATAACACATACCATATCCTGCACCAGCACAAACATTAGCTCATAATAACACATACCATACCTGACAAAGACACAAACCATAGCTGACAAAGACGCTAACCATACCTGACAAAGACACAAACCATACCTGACAAAGACGCTAACCATAGCTGACAAAGACACAAACCATAGCTGACAAAGACGCTAACCATACCTGACAAAGACACAAACCATACCTGACAAAGACGCTTACCATAGCTGACAAAGACACAAACCATAGCTGACAAAGACGCTAACCATAGCTGACAAAGACGCTAACCATAGCTGATAATAACACCTACCATTACTGACAGTACAATAACTAGCACGGGAGTTGATCATCAGATAAATGTCAAGTTAATCATTGCCAATAAAGGAAGTGTACCATTGTTTTAAATTGCCCTTATTTAGTCGACAATAATGTCTACTATTGCCTACAATAACGTTAGCTATAAACGGCAATTTCGTCTACAATCAGTGTCTTAGATGTCTATCTCAGCGGATACAGGCATTTCTATCAAAAGTAGAACGACATGATATGCTAATGCACAGTCAACAACCAACGACATTGACCAGAGTCAAATCTGATGTCTACGATAGAGACAATGAGGTATACTGAGACGGCATCAATGTTGACCTTGCCGACGATCACGTTTATCCTTGTAGACAAATATGTCAATCATAGACACTATCATCGTTTATAAGAGACAGCAATACTTTCAACCGTAGCCAATACTGACATTAACCATAGCCAATACTGACATTAACCATAGCCAAAAATAACATCAAACATGACCAATACTGACATTAACCATAGCCAATACTGACTTTAACCATAGCCAAAAATAACATCAAACATGACCAATACTGACATTAACCAAAGCCAATACTGACATTGACCATAGCCAATACTGACGTTAACCATAGCCAATACTGACATTAACCATAGCGAATACTGACATCAACCATAGCCAATACTGACATTAACCATAGCCAAAAATAACATCAAACATAACCAATACTGACATTAACCATAGCCAATACTGACGTTAACCATTGCCAATACTGACATCAACCATAGCCACTACTGACATTAACCATAGCCAATACTGACATTAACCATAGCCAATAATGACATTAACCATAGCCAATACTGACATCAACCATAGGACATAATGACATTAACCATAGCCAATACTGACATCAACCATAGCCAATAATGACATCAAACATGACCAATACTGACATTAACCGTAGCCAATACTGACATTACCATAGCCAATACTGAAATCAACCATAGGACATAAGGACATTAACCATAGCCACTACTGACATTAACCATAGGACATAATGACATTAACCATAGCCAATACTGACATTAACCATAGCCAATACTGACATTAACCAAAACCAATAATAACATTAACCATTGTCAAGAAAACATCTACCAAAGCAACAATATCTTCTACCATTGCCGACATAAAAGTTTGTCATAACTAAAGTATCTACCATAGCCGACATTTGTGTTCAGGATTCATGTAGCTTCCCTTAGGACAATTGTAGGTGTCTGCAAATTCCTTCATATTCTGGAGTGTTCCGATAACTCTGCAATATAAAGAGAAAAGGATGAAATAATAATCTGTTAATCTTTTGTTTGAAACAGTTATTAAGCTGATTTCATGCAATAAGGGTATTTGCCTTTCTTCTATATACATCAAAAAATATCTAATATGTGTATATACTGTTTTCATATATAGGTTATCTGAAATGTAATATGTCAAACCCGTCTTTAAAGACTGTTCATAAAAAAATCATACAACTTTCATATCATAATTATGTTTATACGATTGCAATTGTACATACATATTTAACAATAGGTTATTTACAAATTATTTGCGTTATCGTGAACTCGAGAGTAAAATGGAATCATAGGTGTAACATATAATAGGTCGCAAATATAATGTGAGGTTGGTATCACAATAGGTAAAATAAACAAATATAATGTGAGTTTGGTATCACCATAGGTAAAATAAACAAATATAATGTGAGTTTGATATCACAACAGGTAAAATAAACAAATATAATGTGAGTTTGGTATCACAATAGGTAAAATAAGCAATTTGAAAATTAAATGATTTTAGACTTAAGTGATGACACCAACCTGAACCTTGGAGGACTGTGTTGGCCGGTGAGGATGTGATGAATAGCATCGGCTTTTCGATGATTACTGCATCGAATCTGCAAAATAAGAAAACACGAAAAAGTGACCTGATGAGTTCAACGGGTTTTTTTCAAAATAAATATGGATAATAGTACTTCTGTGTTCGTTCAGTCATTCTCTGAGATAAACGTGACACACACACAGGAGAATGCACTTTAATATTTGGTTATAGATAAAGTATGCCAAAACATTACTTAGACTGCATCACACAGATATTGCCTCCTTCTAGGACTCGTCAAACGATGGAAATCTAAATTGGTTTAAACCACTGTTGAATCAGAAGGGGAGATGTGTAAACCCCTTTCGTTTTTGAATTTCAAAATTAAGAGGAAAAGAGCTGTCATTGAGGATATCATAACAATTCTGGCTATTTACACGTTCTTAACAAACACGTGTGAGACTATCTTAATTAATTTACGGTATATCCGAAATTATGAAGACCGTACAAGTTAATACAAATAATGATATACAGATAAAGCTGATTGAATATTATGAGGGAAATAACTCTCACAAAAAAATGTATTGACGTTGTTAAAATATCCTTTAAATCTAACTATCCATTTAAATATATATTCGACAAATGTGTAAGGGAAGGAGGTTTCGTAATCATCATCTGGAAGTGTAAACTGAGCCAAAACTCGGGACTGTCTTTCGAATAAAACCTACTTATAGATCCACTGAAATATACTACAGCACCACAACTGATGAAGGATTAAGAAACATACCTGTGCAAAGTTGACAAAGAACAGTTGGCTGTGTGTAAGGTTTAAGCTGGGAAGTGAAGGTTCTTCTTTGCCCATTGAGGCTACCCACGCCCTATATCCCTACAGAGCAATAAAAGGCAGATTGCATTTCATATTTCACAAATATCAGAAAATAAATCAACACCTGCAGCAATGGCATCCTTTGCTTTATAGAACATGTAACGAGAATTGATTGCATTTGCCAATAAATATTGATTAAAACATTAACGTGATCGTGGACCTGACGGGAAACCAAATGCAATAACTTCTAAGTGTATTCTACTGGAGTTGTGACGCTCTAATTTACAAATGAATGGAAGCCAGGAAGCATGCTGTGTAATAGAATATATTAAGTGACATTGCTCCTATCGTTAAAATAGTTTTTTCGCTATATACTGTTAATTACGTATCCATTTCTAGATACTTATTGCCACTTCCATTCCTGAGAGGAAAACGATAGCAGAATAAGAAAAACAGCATGCAAATAATTATCTTATAGGTTATTATCTCGGATCTTAAGTGACTTATAGATAGCTTATTACCTTCACCGGTAGAAGTCTTTTTTAACAACGAACTTTAGTTTGTTCGGGGTAACCTGACCAGTTAGAGATTAGTGTACGTTTGTTGCAGATATGATTTTAAGATCTGTTGTGTGTAACCCGTAAGTTATATACTGTTATTTTTACATTCGTCGATTGGATTACATTTTTTCAAAAATATTATCGAATATTTGGTTTGATTTTTGTAGATATTAGATAAGTTTTGGTAAGTGCCATATAGCACATCCAAGTACCCTGAACGCTTGCTTCAATCCCCCATTGTCGGCTATGTTTTCACCCAACGTCTGGTACCCGTTCATCTGGAAAAGAATAGAAATACACATACATGTAAATAAAATGATAACCATTCTTGATATTTATCACGTCTAAACCAAAACGTTTGTTGTATCCTCAACTACCAATAAACTACACAGAAAGATTTTTTTAAAACATGACAAATGAATAAGGAGGATAACCCTACTGCATTTTGATATTTGCGGCGGAATTACACTGAATGCCTGGGGCACGCTATTGTTTGTGACGTCATTAATAAATATTTTCATGACGAGTAGGGGTCATTCGGGGTTGTTATAGAATGTACCGTCGCAAAAATGTCAATTGACCAGCAAGTTTTGTTTGTGATTCCTTTATACGAATACATATACCCAAAGTTGATTTTATACGCTTTTGAAAATCTACTTTTTGATGTTTGTTTAACATTGTTGTGAGTTTGAGTATTTCCATAAAGAGTTTACGATTGTTTCACAAGAATACTCGTCTTGATATGAATAGTTACATGTAGGTAAAGCTGGAGACATAGAGTGACCATTTTATCTCTTACCAATTTACCGCCTGCCTCGGGATACGAGTATTTGTCATACTGTTTTATAAAGCATTCTGAGTTATTGATGAACTTTTCGATGACTTCGTCTCCCCACCATTGGTTGAGATTTCCAAACTTGTCGTACTGACGGCCTGCAAGTTAAAGCGGTTTGTTACAGAGATGGTTCAAACAGGCGAGTAGCAAAACCACCCAGTCTAACTGCGCTATTGAAGGATTCATAAGCTAGAATTCCATTCTTAATTCGTAGTGTTTGAGTTTGCAGGTTATAAATAAATAAAGGCAGGAACCAGAAGGAAGGATACATATGGTTGTTAGAACATAACATGATGTGATTTTATACCTCGATTGTCAAATCCATGGGTGATCTCGTGACCAATCAAACTGCCTATACCTCCGTAGTTCAACGATCTGTACAAACAAATATAGTGATTTTAACACAGTTACCAACTTTTTCCAAGAACTTGTTGTGATTATGTTACAACACATTATATATAGTTAACAATTCAACTTTTACGCCTTTTCAGAATACAAAAAAAAATGTTTTCTTTCCATCCTTACATCCATGTGGACATTTTAATGTCTTAAGACTTGATTTTGGAATCGCTGGATTCGATATATCCGAGATCTGAACTCCATTGTAAGTTTGATGGAGTAACCTCCCTTAAACACGTTTGCGTCCAAAACAATACAACGACAGAATCGGGAACGTTTTCATCACTGCAGAAATTCATTCAGAAATCACATGGATGTGTGTTCTATTTCCCTACAGCTCATGCACATTGATCGAATATATGATAGGTGGACTCTGTGTATTTTTGAACTTTATAGTTATAAATTTACTAAGATATCTGTAGATTTAAATACTCGCAAAAACTTCGTCGTTTGAATTCCAATTACAAGAATGACTTTTCGTGAAAATTGAAATGTTATAGAAAGTTCAATTATAGCCAGAATATTTGTTGACTTTCTATCCAAACGACGGAATAGTCCTATTATTTAATATGTTGTGTATTCAATTTGTAAGACTGTGTCCTTATCTGCGATTATTTCTATGGTAGTACATTGGGTTGTTTTAATGGATGAAATGCATTATGTTGATACAGAAACTATTTTTGTTAATTTATTTGGTAGTGCAGAGATTGATTTATGAGTTAATCCATTGTAAATCCGTGGTTGATTTCCCTGGCAGTACAGCGGTTTACCTGGGCTGATCTCTATGGTAGTAAGGAGGTTGAAGGATACCCGCCGGAAACACTAGAAAAAGAAACACACATATATATCAATGTGTTACGACAATGAGAGAAGAATGCAGAAAACACACATTTGACTTCACCTGTAAACTTTAGTAACTTTAGATACAGTTATCTAAAACTTGTCACACAGCGCAGTTTATCTTTTAAGAGGAAATATATTATGTAAGATGTTTTGTAGTTTATAAATATCTAGGACTCTTAAAGTGTATTAAATGAAAGAAACATTTTTGTTAAATAATACTATTTGTTAACGTTTTGATCGAATATGACACATATTTTCTGGCTTTATTATTCATAGATTGTTGTCCTGATACTTTATTAGTAACATATTTCTTAGTATTATAATAATTTTTTATGAAAGATTTCTTTAACGTTTAAATACTCTACACAATTAATATTTTTCAGCTATGTCAGAGCCATTTAACTTTTGCAATTTGATATAAGATAAAAAAAAATCTTTAAAATATGTATATAGTACAGAAGATATAATACAATAAAACACAGGTTAACAGTTCAATTCTGCGTTTTTTAATTACATGTCAAATTATATAATAGAAGACTGATGATAATTGTTTCTGTATTCTAGTGGCTGTGTAACGTCTTTCAAATTATATAGGAAGCTATACAAATGTTGCATATTATTATGACTGCTATTTCAGTCATTTGAACTATACACAGAAACAGAGTGAAAAATAAAATTGATCAAACAGGAAAGTTCAGTTTATTTCGGGTAAAAGCTGCATCAAGACATTTTTGGATTATTATTTTGATACTTGAAGATTTTATTCTCTCGTGGAATTTAAAGTTAGTGTACAACTTAATAAATTAACATAACACTGTTGTTTTTCTTTTATAAAATATAGCCGGTGAAGAGCAGATTGTAATGTTCAAAGTAAAACTATCAAAATGACATACTGATCCTGTTGTATGGTGAACTGTAGTATGCATTGACAGTGGCGGGTGCACTTGTCCATCTGTTGAAACAAGAATTGTCAATTTAATAACTTTGACGATGTGATACCTACATAATGTTCATTCTTATGTGTACAGCAATAAGAGAACTCAAGACAACACTATCTTATGACATTCAACTTATGTGTGCTAGACAGTTAATCAATACGTTATTCATAAACTTTAATTTAAGCATTGCTAATTAGGCATATTTCAAGACTATGAAGATAGCATGTTGATTTTTAAATTTTAATGCATATAGAATATGGAAAACAATATGTGTACGCAAATAATTGATTAAGTTTTATGATAGTAAGGAAAACACTTTATATTATTATTTCTTGTTTTACAAAATGTAAAGAAAAAGTAGGAAAATAGCAATAAAACAAAACAAGTGTGAAATATAAAGGATACGTACATATCTTTATTGACAGGCTGTCGAAGCTTTTTGAAATCACCGGATACCCATAGGTTCAGTAACTTGAGGATATTTTCAAAGTAATTGTCTTCAGTCATGGAATACTGCAAAATAAAATATTTTCATCTCGGACATGGTTTGTGCTTGGTTGGGATATATGTATTATAAATTTACAGACAAAAACGAACATTTCATGTCATAATACCGATAGTGATGACATGATAACATTATAACCTAAAGGTGATTGTAATTGTTTGAATAGAAATTTTTTTTCTGTTCAAATAGTTTTAAATATAAATTAATCTGTGAACGCTGTTTCATACTCCCTCAGCATACAAAGTCTCATTTTAATTATCTTGAAATCAAATGATAGTGCTTACGTAGTTAAAACATACCTGATTCAACAATATCTATCAATTGTACATGCATATTGTTTTATTTATTTGGCGAATAAAAATCCACGCGATAACAATGAAAAATTCACAAAGAAAAATATACACGACACTTAAGTAACCTTTATCTAAGTTTTGCAGCTATGGAGTAATACAGTGTGTACATCGATTTGTCTACTGAGAATGTTAACAACACGAACAAATAAACAAAATCTAAAAATATACAGACACGTGATCTAAACTCAAGTATCTGTCTATGATGTAACCTACGGCGTGATATAGATATATATACAGCCACGTGATCTAAACTCATGTATCTGTCTATGATGCAACCTACGGCGTGATATAGATATATATACAGACACGTGATCTAAACTCATGTATCTGTCTACGATGTAACCTACGGCGTGATATAGATATATATACAGCCACGTGATCTAAACTTTATTTCATGTATCTGTCTATGATGTAACCTACGGCGTGATATAGATATATATACAGACATGTGATCTAAACTCATGTATCTGTCTATGATGTAACCTACGGCGTGATATATATATATATATAGACACGTGATCTAAACTATATTTCAAGTATCTGTCTATGATGTAACCTACGGCGTGATATAGATATATATACAGACACGTGATCTAAACTTTATTTAAATGTATCTGTCTAAGATGTAACCTACGGCGTGATATATATATATATATAGACACGTGATCTAAACTATATTTCAAGTATCTGTCTATGATGTAACCTACGGCGTGATATATACATACACATATAACGTTTCAACATCCAGGAAGAGCGAATCGTGCAAGCAAAAAGTCATTCATTTGCAAGATAACTGTGCCTTTTCGTTACTTTTGATTTTCAGATGTATTATCCTCTTGAATAAGTCTAATAACAAGAGCAAAATTATAATCATTTAAATCGAGAGATTGTAACCAAAGAAACTATTTCCATGATCATACATTAATGACTATCAGATAAATGCAAATGTTTTAACCAACATTAAGATAGTTGCTGTTTAATCTATATGGTCATACATATTCCCCCTGTACTTTCCTATATTGACATAAACTTCCCTTGCTTTGTTAATTATCTTTAAATATATATTTCACAGTTCTAACCTTGATGTCCAAGTATTTCAATACTCACATTTTGATATCCAGCATCAAGTACTGTATCGTTTAAAACGAAATCATCGTATCCAATTTTCCTCTGCATATAATTGGCCTGCAACGTACAAAAATAAAACTAAGAAGTCCCGATATAAATATAGTCTTACATGTTCATAAGCAAAGCTCTTACACTTTAAAGCAACAAAGACATCGTGGTATACACAAATTATTAAGAACAAAAGGACATGTTAAGCAAGTTCATAATGTACGTTCTTCATTTAATAAAAACATAGAAACTCTTCTGGGTGTAACGTTATTTTTAAAAGTGATGATTTGATGTGTTTTCTGTTTTTATAGCATGATAGACAGTTAAAATACAGCCGCATAAAAGGTTACCTGAAGGATATGTTGGAAACGAAATTAAGGAAATAAAATGAATAGTTATCACATTAAATCGCAAATAAACAAGACTTTAACTACAAATCATAACCAGAAAAAATCAATTACATTGTACTTAAACCACATACATTTTGTGGATCTTATTTCTAAATAGGCCTAGCTAAAGCGAAGGAAATCTGGTCATTTTTTTCCCGCTACATGAAAAATTACACACTATGTCAAAAATTGGATACAATTTCAGAAGTTTTGTAGTTTAAGAGTTCGTTGGAAAACCAGAATGCAAATTTGCGGTCTGATCAGACACAATAATTGTAACGATGGCGGAATTTATAGGACAGGTTGAGCTGTTAAGCACTACACAACATATTTTTTTTTATCTGAACAGCAAGAAAACTTCTTACAAAAATATCGCCATTGCGTCAAAACTTATTGCGTATGGAGATGTCTACCTTTTCCTTTGCTAAAGTCTTTGTGTAATCATCCATCCAGGTTAGCTCCTCTAGTAACTCCCCATAGGCTTTCTGTATACCGTCGATCATCAGATTCATCTAATTCATTAAAAAATCAAAATGTAGATTTAAAACAGTGGTAATAAAAGTACTCAACATAGCGAAATATACATGGAATCAGGATATTCCGAATTAATAATTAAAATTATTTTTAATTGATGAAGCCCATTTTACTTCCTACGAGTGTGGAGAAATTATCATTTTAACAGTTAAGTACTGTTGTAATATGTCAGTCCAACAGACGACAATAGAGCGATCACAAAAATTGACAATTTGATAATTGGGTATTCATGTAAACGTCATATTGATTGCGGGATTTTAAACGACTGGATAAGTGTTGGTATTGTATTAGGGTCAATGTATCTGTATTTCAGCGAAAAAAGTGTTTCTGTATAACATATGATTGTTTTCCTTTTGCAAACTCAAATTCTCTCTTATTTGAACCACAAGTGCGAAACTAGATATTGTTGAGAATTTAACGATTGCACTGTTAACCAAAATATTACGTCAGCTTCATTTCTGGCCCTTTCTTACATATTGTGTCCATATTAAATTAGCGTTAAGCCTGGTTAAAGACGTTAAAGCTATTATTAAACTCCTAATTAACCATTCAGTGAGAAAATTGATACACTGTAACATAAAAAGAATACCAAAAAAAATCAAACAGTTCTTACGTCACTTTTAGCTTCCTCGTCAAATTTCTCTTCGACATACAGCCGCCCAACAGCAGTACCAAAGTTATTGTTGACGTAAGAGGTACACTTCTGCCAACGTGGACCACTGCCCACTCGTCCGGTTAGCACCTGGCAGGTAATAGTTATGTTTATACAAATGACGTATTAAAAGCAGCAGTGTGCTTAAATTATCTATCTTCCAGTTTTAATTAAACGAGACAGGCAATAGTGACAGAGGAAGATAAACCTTGGTAAATATTTAAGTAGTATTATCTCTTTAAGAAAATGACATAAACAGTTTCATAAAGAAAAATCAATGCTATCTTTGCATCCATATTTTCAAGGAAAATATTTATCAACCTAAAGCTACAAATCATGATAATAACGTTCTTTTTAAAGCGAATACAAAAAGGACAAACCAAGCATATGAAGTATATATATATACCTGCCAACGAAATTACACAACACAGGAGACGGTTGCAAGTTATATATACCAGTGCGATTGATTGGGATTATATTAGAAGCGTGCAAACCTTGTTGTATTCTGTCATCATATTATCAAATCTGGACGGCAAGTTCACAATTCTGTTTTGCATGATACTCCATATTACATAATTAGCAACAGTCCTGAAAATAGAATATTCAGTTTGGTAATCTTCAATTTTTAAAACGTACAGCATTTTATATGAACACCATTCAGACGCAGACTATCAAAATTAACTATAATCTCAGGTGTTGCCTATACTGAAGTATATATATCGATAATCTTTCAAGTTAACAATGAAAGTTGTTCATGATATTTGTTCGTCATAGCCTACGCATATTTCAGAAATCTGTTGTACGTTATAAAAAAACGTTATTTAAATAGAGCAATAAAAAGATAAAAAAATTAATATTTATTTGATTATTTTTGAAAATGTCAAATATTTGGATTAACCGTACCTTTTTGAAAACTGTTCAAGAGTTACAAAGAGCTTGTCAAAGTATCTTGGTTCTTCAACGATAATGGGCTCGTCGTCCTGGATATGCATATTGATGTTCTCCATGCCAAATACGTTGTTAATATATTCTTTCCATACAAACTTAAACTGTAATACAAATACGATAGTCTTAAAGTTATATGTTAAAGTGCTGTGACGCAGTTATGTGGAATACTTTATTTCTGTTTAAAGTGTACAACTTTAAACCTATACCAACATTACCAAAAAAACGAAAAAAAACCCGTTAACGATGACTGTATAAGTTTATAATGTTTCAAGACATCTAACAACAGATCTGAAAAGAACTAAATTGCCACTACGAGTAAAGTTAGGATAATATAAGAAAAACGATTAAAACATCATGCCAACAAATTTAATATCACTTTTCCAAATACAGCAAAATTAATAAAATGTATAACCTGTTACTGTACTTCTGTGTCTGCTGACTTACTTTGGTCGGTTCAGGAAAAGTGGTGGCGAGTTCACCAACTGTATATTTGTTGTATAAATCCTCACTATTCCGTCGCCAGTTAGATGGTATTGTTATCTGCAAAAATAATGAAATTTTATTTTCACAAAGTGTTAAGGTACCAGAGTACAGTAGAAATGGCATGATCCTTAAAATAAAGGGCATGTCTCAGATAAACATGGATAGTGGATTCCTCCTGCACAACACACCTATATATATATATATGTATTTATAAACTAAATTTTGAATACATTAGCAAGTAGAAATTTTTATCTTAAACCCTGTCTGAAATTAAATATCACCTTCTCGGTATCAGAAATACTCACGTTTTAGCATAGGTCGTTTAACTGGATTTTTTTACAATATTTACACATGTGCTGAGTACAAAGATAGACTACATGAAAAGCTAGCTTTTGTTGTGTAGACACAGATTTGTAAATGGCCAAAAATGTAGTCTCAAACTATTTTTTTTTTTTTGAATATGAAGCCCACATAGTCCACTTCATCATGAATATGCCAATTTGAGTGCTGATTTTTTTTCCGATTTTGATACATGTAATATTACAGGGGTTATTCATTGTACAAAAATATCACCCATTACCACCGTGCGGTACTGTACACTGCTGCCAAAGCATGCTCGTCCGTACATCAAAATCAATAAATGTTTTGGGTAAATTGTTTTTATGATCGTGATTTAAAAAATAATTATTTTTGTTCCTTAATAGTAATTGAATTTGTATAAAGAAAAGTTCGTTAATTAAAAAAAAGGTTTTGTTTTACAATAACCATATCTGCAATGTTTTCAAATTTATTTTAATGATTAGTACAAACAGTGTATCTGCTATCACAGGAATTGAAAACAAATAATAGATTGAGTGGACTGCTGGTGTACAAAGATAAATAATTGATTGAGTGGACTGCTGGTGTACAAAGATAAATAATTGATTGAGTGGACTGCTGGTGTACAAATATAAAGAATAGATTGAGTGGACTGCTGGTGTACAAAGATAAATAATTGATTGGGTGGACTGCTGGTGTACAAAGATAAATAATTGATTGAGCGGACTGCTGATGTACAAAGATAAATAATTGATTGAGTTGACTGCTGGTGTACAAAAATAAATAATAGATTGAGTGGACTGCTGGTGTACAAAGATAAATAATAGATTGAGTGGACTGCTGGTTTACAAAGATAAATAATAGAGTGAGTGGACTGCTGGTGTACAAAGATAAATAATTGATTGAGTGGACTGCTTGTGTACAAAGATAAATAATTGATTGAGTGGACTGCTGGTGTACAAAGATAAATAATTGATTGAGTGGACTGCTGGTGTACAAAGATAAATAATAGATTGAGTGGACTGCTGGTGTACAAAGATAAATAGTTGTTTGAGTGGACTGCTTAAGTACAAAGATAAATAATTGATTGAGTGGACTGCTGGTGTAGAAAGATAAATAATTGATTGAGTGGACTGCTGGTGCACAAAGATAAATAGTTGATTGGGTCGACTGCTGGTGTAGAAAGATAAATAATTGATTGAGTGGACTGCTGGTGCACAAAGATAAATAATTGATTGGGTGGAATGCTGGTGTAGAAAGATAAATAATTGATTTAGTGGACTGCTGGTGTAGAAAGCAAAAACGAAAGAAAGTTTTTTAATAGACTCAATGCTGTATTCCGGGAAATTTTCGCAATGTCAAATATTGATTTTTCCATAGTAAATCCATATTCGCTCAGTGTTAATTCGCCCTTCACACGTATCTAATCTTTATATTATAGATTGTATTAATGTTTGCTGTCATAATCATTTGCCCATTCTATGGAAGGCAAACAAGTGAAAGTTTAATGTGGCGAAAGATATATACCCATTTCAAAGTAAAATAAAATCGGCCAATATATCTGAAACGAAAAATTTCAATCATTAATAAACAATCATTGTTTGGACATACATTAGCTAGTGCGATTTCAAACTCGATCTGATCGTTGACGTCTTCGTCAACAGTAACAGGATCAGCACCAAAGTCAAGCAGCACCGATTTGACTAGATTCTCATAAGCCAACAACTTCTCGTCATTACGTCCCTTGAGAAAGAAGCTACGCCCTGGCATGTTCAAACCTGGCTGGTCTGCCTGTAGGATACATTTAATAAAAACATGACTTATAATACAAAAAAAACTCCTACCAATAAATTTTCATAAATACCTAACCTACAATAGGATAACCGTCAAACCTTGTTTAAAGCTAGTATTGTTTTTTAAACTTTATACAAATGTCCGTGTATCCTTGTTTTATATCATTCTGTTTAATGCATGCTGTTTTATGAATCCGTTTTTTATCTATTGCAAGAATCACAAGACGTAATGTAAGCTTAATACTATATGTGTATCACTGAGCAATACAAAGAGGACATCGTAAATGAATATCGTATATCCAGATTTTTTGGTGTGAGGTTTATGTCATTTTCGTAAAATCATGTCACATGCATGTTAACATAAATTAAACATAAAAGCGTTAAATAAGATATTTCATTATTTCTGTTTTCAGGAGTTTAAAATGAATTACCACAAATACTCCAGTAAATTCTACCAATATTACCAGACATCAGTTTATTCAATCAAATTAACGATTTGTATCACCAATTCAATTATTATAATATCATAGAAAATAACTAAGGCTTTAGTCTTAAACTGAGTCTAGTTCTGTGATTATTTTTTCTTACAAATATCATTCGGGCGCTGGAGTTTTTCGAGTCCACGGATACGTAGAACCCTATTAGCGGGTTATTGTAATACAACATCAACTTGCTCAATAGGAGACTTAGGTCGAAGGAATCTTCATTCCAGTATCCTCCCGGCCTATCGTCAAGTGCTGGCCATCCACCGAATGAGTCCAGCAGATCTATGGCTGCTGATAGGTTTCTTTCCTCAATGTTTGCTACAATTGAACGATGTGCTGTGTAATCATTACTGTATTTGCTGTGGGTTATAAGGAGAAATTACTTATGATCCGTATCTAACATATTTTGTGTTGAAAGATCATACGTAGGAAGGCAAATAAAATGGAGTCGAAAGCAAACTATTTCATGGAATATTATTATTTCGACAAACAGACCGTGTACACTGAAATAGTAACAACAAATATAAGCGTCTTAAAAATGTGGTCTTTGTCATTAAACATTGTGACGCAAGGTGCTATTGTTTTTGAATATATATAAAAAAAAAAATTGGGGGGGTGGGGNGCAGACAATTGAACAGGTCGTAAAATCTTCATGAAATCATCATAAAGTTACTATGAGGGCACACCGAGCGTGGCATACTGGACGAAATACTAGATTATCAGGAGCTCCTAGCTAGGTCATCTGGAAATTATATGAGAACATGTCAGTTGAATGACACCACGTTTAGACTAGTTTTCAAGTATTTAAAATGACATACTTATATTGATACAGGACTTGTACATTTTCCTAGCATACTGTACTGCCTTGGGCTCGCCCGGCAGTGATTCTCCTTCAAGTAAATCTGGAAATGAGATATCGTTTATGCATATTTGTAACAAGACAATGTCATTAGGGTAATACTTCCTTTAACAACATCCAGAAAAAAAACCAAAAAACAAAAACCCATTTCATAGTTAAGAAATAGTAATCAATGGATGTGAACAATTAGACAATAGAGATACATGATTGTCTATAAATATATTAATTGATATCAAACATCAACAAAACAATATCACCCAAGTTTATGTGATTCATTATATAAAAGTACTCAAACATCTTCATTGAAAAATCTCGAACATGCTTGTTCGACATCCGTTTGTTTGACAAGCATACGAAGCTTTATTATATTGGTACCATATAAGAATTGCGTCCCTGTAACTAAATGCTCAATACACGAAATGCAACAGAACATTAATTTAGTCGTTGCCTTGAATTAGTAAACACAAATAGCCATCCCGTTTCTAATAATAACGAATTAAATTCGGAGCAATGAAACAGCAACGAAGGCAGAAAGACGAGACACCTTCGCAAACATTTACATCATGCACCTCAGAAAAAATAAGAGCGGAGACCGGATGTTCCGAAGGAGAGTATCCTTTTACTACCTGTGGCACCGGTGAGGACGTTTTAATTCGAATCAATAAGAATAAAGACGCAATGGATGTTTTTTAACTGTTGCTTTTGTTTACACATATCGAGTTTTAAACATTAGAGTTTTATTGCATAAATAATTGGGTTATTAATTTGTCTTCACATAATTGTTTGAAAGTATAATTTATCCTTTATTAAACAGACAAATTAGAATTTTTATGTGGAAACGCATTCAGGATATAAACAGATTAGTTGACTATTGAAATACAAATTATGTTAAGCTTTAAAACCAGGAATGAGCGGTTCTGCATTCACTCCCCACTCTTAAATAATTTATTCTAGTAGAGTATCCACTTAAGATTAACATCTTGTAGAATCGGCGTCAAAAATTGTATTTCAAAGTCTGCCGAGGTAATAGTAGTATTAGTGGAAGAAGTCTGGATGACATATATATGTGGACCATGCCAGGTATGTTGGTTCTAAATGTATATTTAAAATGAAATCGTTTATTTGGACGTTTACATACCATAGACTACCATAATGATGATATCTAAAGAAGACATGAGTGAGCATCATAATGTACCGATATATGTGTGTGTGTATTTCAGGATAAAACAGTAATGTATATCTCCTGCAGCCCAGATTTCAAAAGACTAAATATAAAAATGTATTGTGGTTTCGTGACTACGATGCAAATTCGACTGAATAAACTTCTTAATAACATGTCGACATACCATCCGTAATTCATTGTTATCAAATATAGATTCGGGTGTCAAGGATTGATGCAAGGTTTAACATATCAATGAAATACTTGACGTCAACATCCTTACATGTTTCATGATACTTCACAAGCAAATATAATATGTTTTCTTTAACCTTACAATCAAATGCAAAATTGAAAGAAGAAAAAAAATAAAAAAATATAACGTCATTATGTTTGGTTCGCAACAACTAGAATCGTATGCAAACAAGTACAGTTGTTGACGCCACTAACAGAAATATTTTACCATCATTACAAAAAAATAAAACCTGCTGACACAACGAAAAACACAGACTTGCCAACTCATCATTTCCCCATCCTTTCCCAAAATACACATTCATTCTATCTTCGAGACAATCTCAATTTATGAGTTCATGCCATCAAATGAAAACCTCTTTCCTTACAGAAATCAAGCCCGAGAGCCTGAGGTTTAAGTGCAGAAGTAAAAACATTTCAAAGTATTATTTTTAAAGCGATTGTTCATATATATATAAAACGGAACATCGGTATACCTCGGTACAAAACGTATTATATGATATCTCAAGTTACAGTAAAGCATAGTACAGCTCCCCTATATAGGGTTCAATCACAGCTACCCTCTATAGGGTTTGAGCACAGCTACCCTCTAAAGGGTTCGAATCTACCACACTCAGTTCCTAAACCAAACATTGTATGGGTTGTGGTTGTTTCATATAATTTTTTTAATTAAGAATTGCAAAAATGTTTAAAGAAAAATTAATGACATAATTTTTCATTTTTGCATGACCTGAACATAATCAAAACTCACATTTAAGGGTGACCTGAACTTCTTCCCTGAGAACACTGAACCTCGCCAGATAAGTTCGATGTTCTGGGATCACGTGTGTTTTCCTCCAGTTACCGCAGGCATAGTTGTAGAAGTTGTCACAGGGGTCTACACTGAAGTCTATATTGTTATACACTGACGCGGCTGTAAAGAGGTCAGACAGATTATTTACGTATGTTAAAATTCTGGACATTTCGCGGTTATTATATTTCTAGAATTAGTACGCTGAATTTATTACAGACGGTAAACATTTCCTATAATCATAAGCTTTATGTCCCAGTGCCCAAAACGGTCATGAGATCAATTAAATCGTGGTTGATATTCATTGCCAGGAATCTTTGAAAATATACCCTCGCAAAAATAAACAGGCATGCAGTATGTAAGTAGAATTGTTATCAGAGCCTATCAACTTGCTTATCATCACATATTTTTAGAATTAATTATCCAGCATAAGAATTGGTGTTTCAGTCACAAAAACGTTATTGATATAGTATTTAATAATTCCCTTTTTAAAACCATTGTTTACATTCTATTATATTTCTGTAACATTAGACCTTTGGAAACGTTCGTTTCTTGTACTATAGCCTGATGTATGTACATACTATTATGTACATCTTCTTCTTCTTAAAATGCGAAATTGAGGTTTTTGAAGTAAAACCAATTTTCATGATGTAATACTTACCATAACTTTAGTATGCATATACAATACCTACACCCATCTTTGTAGCCCAAAAACAAAAGATTCAAATATCCCTACCTCCCTACCGTGACGTAACCTCTATCTCGATGACAGAGCCACGGAGTGATCTCCCTTCCTCAAACCCCCTTTTATGGAGCCTAAAGGCAGCCAGGATGAGGAGGCAAGGGGAGGAATACAGGGTGGGACTCCATAAAGTTATGGTAAGTATTACATCATGAAAATTGGTTTTACTTCAAAAACCTCAATTTCATTTCAGTAATAATTACCATAACTTTAGTATGCGAATTCGTCTTACCGTAGTGGAGGCTTCGAATCCAGGCAGACCAGGCTGACGGAACAAACTCGAGACATGCTCAAGGTAGGGAAAAGGTTCAAGGAACCCCCCTAATAAAGCCCCGAAAGTAATTAAAAAATGGAAAACCTCCCCGTGAAACGAGCAGGTGTACCACCGTGGTGCCTGATAGCATACTATTTAAAATCACTGAATTACTGTGGAGGAACAGCCACAGACTGTGCAACCACCACCGGTCCAAGGGAATACAATCCATCAGAATGAGAGGCCAAGGACCGGAGATAAAAATCCGTGAAGGTAGTCTGTCCGCGCCAGAAAGCTGCGGACATGACCTCCTGAAAGGGGGACCCATTGAGGAGGGCCCATGACGCAGCAAGGGCCCTGATCTCATGCGCCCTCACCTTATACAACGCCCGAACCTGATCATCCGAGTGGTCGTAACCGTACTTGATGACCTGACAGATCCATCTAGACACTGACTGAGAAGAGATATCCTGTTGACCCTGCTTAATGGGCAAAAACAGACGAGATCGAGGACCTCGCCCCCCCCTGGTTTTATCGAGGTAAAACCTAAGCGCCCGACAGGGACAGAGCAACCTATCCCGTTCCTCAGCTCCAACGAAGGCAGTCAAAGACGGAATCTTAATCGGATCGGGCGAGAAGCCAGGAACCTGATTCTTAGCCATAAAGGCAGGATCAGTGAGAAGGGTAACGGCAGAGTAATTCCTGGACCATCGGAGGCAAGAGGGGTGAGAAGACAAGGCATGAATCTCACTCCTCCTTCGACCTGAGGCCAGGGCAACAAGGAATACCACCTTGTAAGTAACAAACTTCAAGGAGGCAGACGCTAAAGGCTCATAAGGTGCCCGCATCAGCGATTCGAGCACCAGTGGCAAATTCCACTGCGGAGCCAACTGCCGGACCCTAGGCCTGTCCAACCCAAACCCCCTAATCAAGGCAGAAAGAGAGGAGGACGAGCCTACCTCCGACCTACCATGAACAGAGAGAACACTAGCAATGGCCGTGCGATAACCAGCGATAGTGCCAGGGGCAAGATTGCGGTCCCTAAACAGCCAAAGAAGGAAGTCCGCAATCACCTGGACAGTAGCCTTGATCGGATCAACCTTCCTGCCGACACACCAATCACAGTAAATCTTCCATCGTGACTGGTAGACGGCAGATGAGGAAGCCCTAATTGATCGAGCGATGCGATCTGACACGTCCCTAGAAAAGCCCGCCTGAGCGAGGCCTCCTGAGATAGCTTCCACGCGTGAAGGTGGAGGATCTCCGGACGAGAGTGCATCGTCCTGGAACGAGGCTGGCGAAGGAGGTTCGCTCTGAGAGGAAGAGCCAGGGGCTCTTCCACCAGAAGCGACAAAAGCTCCGGAAACCAAGGCTGCCTCGGCCACAGGGGCGCTATCAGGAGGAGGGAACACTGATGCTCCCGAAACTTCTGCAGCACCCTGCCCACCATGTTGAAGGGTGGGAATGCATATGCATGCATTCCCTCCCAATCCAGAGACAGAGCGTCCACGGCCCAAGCCCTTGGATCTGGTACCGGAGAGACAAACGTTGGCAACTGATTGTTCAGTGAAGTGGCGAACAGGTCTATGTGAGGCCTGTCCCACACCTGACAAATTCCCACGAAAATCGAGGGATTCAGTTGCCACTCTGTCAAAACCGGCTGGCGGCGCCTGGAAAGAGTATCCGCCAGAACATTCAACCTGCCTGGTAGATGCTTGACACAAATTGTCAACTGCATTTCCTGACATAGAAGCAGAATGCGGATAGCGAGGGCACACAGGGTGTGAGACCTGGTTCCCCCCTGTCTCTCCAGATACGCGACAACCGTAGTGTTGTCCGTAGCCACACAAACCACCTTGGAATGCAGGATCTCCCGAAAAGACTGCAGAGCCAACAGAACAGCCCTCATCTCGAGCACATTGCTGTGCTCCGAGAGCTGTTCCCCAGACCACTCCCCCGACTGGCAACGCCCGTCGAGATAAGCTCCCCACCCTGTCATGGATGCATCCGTGTACAGGGTCATAGTGGGAACTGGCTTGGACAAAGGAACCCCTCGGAGAACATTGTCCTGATGAGTCCACCAGCGTGCGTACTCCTTGACCGACTGGTTCAGAGGAAGCAAGGCTTCCCAATCCCTTGAAGAAGGGACCCAGTTGGCAAGGAGAAACATCTGGAGAGGCCTGATGTGAAGTCTCCCTAAGGGGACCACATCGGCCAGGGCGTTGAGATATCCCAGAAAACTGAGAAACCAACGTACCTGGACTTGAGACCGGCCGATAAAGGTCAGAGCAAAAGCCCTGGCCTTCTCGAACTTCTCCATCGGTGGAAGGGCGATGCCCTGAACCGTATTGAAACGGTTCCCCAGAAAAACAAAATCCTGAGATGGGGAAACCTCCGACTTTTCTCTGGAAGGAATGAAGCCGACCTTGAGTAAGAGTTTCAGAACCAACCGGGTGACCTGTACCAGAGACTCTCTCACTAGGTGGAGCATGAGGGAGTCGTCGAAATAGATGTGAACATCTATTCCTCGAGAGTGCAGGAATCCCACGACCACCTGCAGCAGCTTGGTGAAAACCAAAGGTGCAGTCGTGAGCCCGAACGGCATGGCCCGGAACTGGAAGACCTTTCCGTTGCAAGTAAAACGGAGGTACTTCCGTGCCGACTTCTTGATGGGGATGTGGAAGTAGGCGTCCTTTAGATCTACTGAAGTCGCCCACATTCCCTCTCTCACGGAGGCGATAATACCCCGAGGAGTCTCCATCTTGAAGTGAGGAGAATCTACGTGCTTGTTGAAGGCACTTAGATCTATGATGGGACGCCACGCCCCGGACTTCTTCCGAACCAGAAACATTCTGGAGTAGAACCCGGGAGTGCATCCCGACATAGGAACCTCCTCGACCGCGCCCTTGGAAAGCATGGTCCTTACTTCCTCCTGGAGCGCCAGAGCCTTTTCCGGATCCCCCGGTGGAGGAAAAAAGATTGGCTCTGACGCTAAGGGCGGATCCCGCACTAGCGGAATGCCTAACCCCTCCTTGATCACAGACAAGGTCCATGCGTCTTCCGTAATTTCCTTCCACTCTGGAAGGAAAGCAGAAAGACGACCCCCCACAGGAAGATCTGGTCGAGGCAGATCGAGACCTTGCCAGGCAAGAGAATCGTCTGCTGACCCGAAGCCTAATCCTGCGGGAGAAGGACCTAAGCTTGAGCCGAGAGGACTGCATTCCTCCCGGCCAAACTCGTCGTCTGACACGACCAAGGAGGGAAGAAAAGAGTCAGGAACCCTTCTTCTTACCCCCAGGAGGGTTCTTACCCTTCTTACCCTTCCATTTGTTGCCCTTGAAGGGAGGCTTATACTTGGGCTGCGCAGAGGACTGCGAAGCCGAAGGTTTAGCCTTCTTCTTAGGAGGCGCTGACCCCTGCGAGGTACTGGCCTTCTCAGCCTGAATCCTCTTCACCAGAAGTGCAGAGGCGACCGAGTCCTCCTTCAAATCCTTCTGAACAGAAGGAAGGGCCCCTCCAAAAAGAGTGGACCCTGAGAAGGGGGCAGTCAACAGTCTGGAACGGTAAGGCTCATCGACCGGGCGATTTTTCAAAACTGAAAACCGCCTAGCCAACAAGACATTGACGAGGGATGACACCTGTAAAGCTGCCAGCGCTCTCAATGCCCCGTTCAGGGCAGAGGTCACTCTGTCCTGGATGTCGGCCTGCTCTGTCTCGGTTATCCGACCCTCAGGCAAGTCGGATACCCTATATAGACAAACCGTCAAGTAGTCTATATACGACAGAATCTGGATGGAGAGACGCAGCAGTCTCTCCATCTTGTGGTGTTCTTTGGGACCGAACACCACCTGGTCCACCGATTTACCGGGCCAAGCTGCAAGTTCCCTCGATTCCAGCTTAGCTGGTTGAGGGGCAAGCAGACCATCATGTGTGGCATAGTCAGTGGCGTGCACCTCTGACAAATCGCCAACACTGAGCTGCAACCCAGCATACCCAGGACTACGGGTTGAAGAAGAATTCTTCCCTAAAACCCGAGACTGGGCGGTGGCCAGAGCTGAAGACACAATGGTGCCTTCTGGCAGAGAGCGGTCCGACCGAGCGGACACCCGAGGAGCCACCAAAGAACCCAAAAGGGTGGTGGACTCGGGGACAGATGATGCCGAAGGTGGTGGGCAAACCTCCTCCCCAAGAATCCGGGAAACGTCAGCCCTAAGGCCCCGCATACCGGATAACACATGCTGGGCCTCAACCTCAGCAGCCTCAGGGTCTCCCTCATCCTGGAAGTCCTCCTCTGAGGGCAAGCCCTCCTGAGGACTGTCGTCAGACGACTCGGAAAGACCAGCGTCTATATCCGAACAACCAGGTGAAAGATGAACAACATCATTGTCCTCTGCCATACCCGCGCCCTCAACGTCCATAGCCTCCACACCATCCAGACCAGAAGCCTGGGGCGGAGGAAATGGGCCAGCCAGAGGGGCCAACCCGAGAGAAGGCTCCCCGTACCGGCGTTTAGGTGCAGTGCGCCTAACGGCCGTGGCTGTAGGTTTAGGCTTAGTAGCCAAAACCCTACCCTTGGACCCAGAGACCAACGAGCCTGCCCGAGAGGCAGAAGTCCTAAAGGTCCGACACACCTTCTTAGGACCGGCCGATAAGGCCCCCGAAGTAGCAGAAAGTTGGGGGGGGTCAACAGAACTGCTAACACGTCTCCGCGAGGGAGAGACCAAACCCCAAGGATTCCATGACGGAAATGCCATGGGGTTAAACCCATATCCCGGAGGATAGGGGAAAGGTCCCGCGGGCTGGGAGTGACCCCAGAACTGGCCAAACTGGCCTGCCTGAGACTGGGGCTGGCCAACTTGCCCAAAGGGCGAAGGTGGACCGCCACTCCCTCCAGGTGGAAACCCGGACATGTACGGGCTATGCTAACACGTCTCCGCGAGGGAGAGACCAAACCCCAAGGATTCCATGACGGAAATGCCATGGGGTTAAACCCATATCCCGGAGGATAGGGGAAAGGTCCCGCGGGCTGGGAGTGACCCCAGAACTGGCCAAACTGGCCTGCCTGAGACTGGGGCTGGCCAACTTGCCCAAAGGGCGAAGGTGGACCGCCACTCCCTCCAGGTGGAAACCCGGACATGTACGGGCTAAGCCCGTAACTGCCGGGATGCTGCCGCAACCCAAAACCATCCGCAGGCTGGTAAGGGCGGCCCAAGGATGGTTGCCCGCAGGCACCCGTATACCCTAAGCCAGGGGAAAACGGAGGCCGGAAACCGGCCCCCTGTCCAGCAAACCCAACCCCTGGGGGGAAACCCCCCAGGTTCCCAGAAGAATGAAACTCGGGACCGGACCTAATAGGACCGGGTCCGGGTAACTGACCGGGAGGGTATGCCTGACCAGCATTGATGCCGGGATTAGTGAGCTGCGCGTCACTAATCCCGGTAGACACAGACAATCCCGAAAGAAAGTCTGTTGTCACACCAGGACCTGAACCCGAAAGAACAGGCCCGGCACCAAGACTGTCCCCAACGACAGCACCACCTGGAATGCCGGGATCACTGACAGAGTCAGTGACCGGCGGCCGGTAGTCCCTACCCGAAGGCAAGCGCGAAAGCTTACGGGCGTTCCCGGCCAATTCGACCCTTGGCTGTGCCAAGCCAGGGTCAGGCTGCCCCTCCCCTACTCCAGGGAGTTCCTGGACAGGAAGGGCCACCCCCTGCTCACGAGAGGGACTTGCCGAAGCAAGACCCCCCGAGACAGGAACAGAGACAGTACCACCAGACCCCAGAGAGCTGGTGGCACGACCCCTACCTCTCTGCTTCCCTCGCTTACCGGAAGAAACAGACGAATCTGTCTTACGGTAAGTTGAGGGTAGCTTTGGAACAATGAAGTCCTTGCCCTGAGATTTTGACTGTGAACAAAGTTCACAAGGCGAAACCTCACTGCAAGGACGACACCTGGGACAGGCATCATGAGGGTCCCGTTCCACAAAGAAATGGGAACACCCATGAGCACTACCTCGTCGCTGTCCCGACCGAGACATACCCTCCAAAGCGAACGTAAACAAAAAATTTACAAGCAGATAAAACGGGAAAATAAGGATAAAATACGATAGTACAAAGTACGCAACGTAGAAAGAATTTCACCCGTAATATAAATCAGAAAACGGTTAAAATAAATAACGTTTGCCGAAACAAACAACCGTCACCGAAATAAACAGAGGTCGGAAATTAACCCACGATAATGGCGGACCGTGGCACACCACCGGCACACGTGGAGTAAAATAACCGGCCGTAAAAGGCACAAAAATAATTTTCAACAACAATTAGCTATATCAATAAGGGCAGATGGGTAAAAGGCACACAAACTGCGCAAAAATATGAGTTGACACTCAAACCAAACCGACAAAACAAAGTTTTAAATTGGAGCAAGCTCCGTGCGTCAGCATGCAGCAGGCGCCATAAAAGGAAGAGGAAGGGAGATCACTCCGTGGCTCTGTCATCGAGATAGAGGTTACGTCACGGTAGGGAGGTAAGGATATTTGAATCTTTTGTTTTTGGGCTACAAAGATGGGTGTAGGTATTGTATATGCATACTAAAGTTATGGTAATTATTACTGAAATGAAATTCGCAATTGATGTAATCTCACTGAACGTCTGTTACCATAAAAAGCATGAAATAAATACAACTGGCCATATATGTTAGCATCCGGGCGGGAAATTGAAACACATTTTGAAACATATTGCGACATAGAGTTTCTATGATAAAGGAGTGTACTGTAATGATCAGAGTTTGTTGACACTACGAGTACCATTGCCTGTCTTACCTGCCTGCACGCATCCATAACTGGTACATACATCATCTGAAAGCAATCAAACAAAAAGTCTGCAAGATCACAAAAAACCCATATAAGGCTTATCAATTAATGCACTAGATAATACCTTCCTACCATGCAAAATAACCTGGATATAAATGTAAAACAAAAGTCAACATATTATTTCTGTATTATCTAATGATGATCATTTCAATTCGCAAAACATATCTGTTTGCGTAGAGATTTCCATTATTATAGTATAAATATTCGAATTTGATATAACTTTCAATATTCATAATCGTATCCCTATCAAATAAATTACAAAATATACATTCTGACCTGTAGAATTTATTCGCCATTAGGTTACACTGTTTCCCCAGCAATTATGGCAAACACAAATATAAGATTGTAGAAGTACATCACACCTTTTCAGCATTACCAGGTATGTTTTGATGTATTCAATCAAAACGTTTATGTCATATATTATATTCATATCAGCTTGGAATATCTCTGATTGGTTATAAGCAACAACGTTGTACATAGACTGGTGCTCTTTAATACCTGTAAAGAGACACCTTTTAGATCATTTTCACGAAAAGAATGTCGTACTGAATTCCTTGATCAGTAATATTGCATCAATTATGCAAATGACAAAGTTATAAATGTTATGTCAGGAAAGGTCAAAATTGTTGGAATCATGGCGATTCTTTTTGATAGTGAACTCGCATAAACTTTGTGAGCAGAATAAAAAAGTAAAGAAAAAGTGTTAGATTCAATAAACTTTCAAAATGATATCAGCTTTTTCTTATACAACTTAACGCCGAAAACATTTTGCAAAATTTCAATACTCTGGAATTTTGTCAACTCAGCACAACGCGTTGTCAAACCTTTTTAATACAATTAACTTGAGCACGTTAAAACCCGAAGACGTGTAAACGATATCTATATTTATTCTAAATCGTTTGGAAAATCTAATCGAGAAAAATAAGGTTACAATCCGGAATGTTGACAAGACATTTATAGCATCTGGACTCTACAAGGGCCTTGACTGCGTGTACTCCCGGTAACTCAAGTACCACGGTAATTACAGCAATAGACTCATTTAATTTTCGATAAGGAGATCGCAATTGCTTGTTTAATATGATATGACTTCTATCACTACATAAATATACATACATAGGACTTGGAATTTGTTTATATTTTCTTCCGTGTCTATTTCCTCTCGTGTCTGTTTCCACGAGAGTCTAATCAATCACAAGACAACTCACTCACTGATAAGTTCAGGGAAAATGGGCTCTTGCTTTCGATGTTGATTTCATATTTCAACTACCCCAAATTATCCATAAAAAGAACGCTATCTACAAATGCCAAGCATAGGTAAAAGTAGGCCTGCGTGCGTTATCCCTTCCAGACAACTTACCTTCCTGTGGTTTGAAGGAGAATATTCCTAGGGCAAGCAGAATTATAAGAACCAGTAGGAAGAGAAATATTATTAGGAGTAACACCAGTAGGATCTTTTCGAGGAGAGTCCTGCGTTTCCACCAACATCCCTCTGATCTGTCAAAAAGCACATTGGAAAGGACACCAGTTAATCAATTGTATACAGTGATACAACCGCCAATAGTTTGAAATTCATACATGTAATAAAAGGCTAATTAGATGGTGATAGCATATGCGAAATGTTAAGCACAACGTTGTTTGTGATGCACTATTACCAAATGGTTGTTTCTGTTATAAACACAGCATGACAAATATGACGTTCTCAAATATGATACATGGGATAATCGTAGTTTTAATGATTACAGTAATATTGCCGAATATTTGATTCATTGCCGCAAAATAGTTATTATCAATTAGGAAAAAGCCTGTATATTACGTCTTAATATTAATTTAAGGATATGATGAAAAATTTGTATACTTTTGATAAATCATTGGTGCATATTAAGTTTAAACCTAACCCACTCGCGCTCAATACATTTAAAGAAAACATTTGTTTTTATTTGACTATCTAATGTTCAATTGATTTCGGTAGGCATGTGGTTTTAGTTAAAACATAATTAGTTCCATAATTAGTTGATACACGTAACATGTTAACATAACTGACAGATTTGACTTATCAAATCAAGTATCTACTGCCTCACAAAACAAAGAATCGTATTTGAATATACATTAAATAAACTCCAGCGATTAACTTTTTATGTCTTCAAACCCACCATTACATTATTTGTTATTTTTTGCATTTGATTTGCGGTCAATTAAAAGTCAACAGGTCACTTCAAATAGACTATTTTTGATACAAATTGAGTTAAAACCCATTCCGATCAGACCAGACAATTTGAAGTCCACTCTTCGTATCTCACAAAACGGCCGATGTGTGTGGCTATCATTAGCATGAACACTAGGCAGTTGACGCTGACAGAGATATACAGCTATTCGCTGCATACAAAGTACAGTCAACTTAAACAGGCGCCTATATAAAAGCCCTTTTTAGTTACTGTTGACTGAAATAAAATCCTTATTGTTTTAGTTTAATTGCCATGACAATTAAGAAAAAAGGTCAGTGACTTTTCAATTTTAGTTCTTTGGAATATTTATCACGGATTTTTCTTTTTTTTTTTCTTTAAGGATGAACTTTACACACACACACAGATGATCTCACACACTCAGGTGATCACACGCACACATGTGATCACACACACACACACACACATGTGATCACACGCACACAGGTGATCACACACACACATGTGATCATGCACACACAGGTGATCACACACACCCAGGTGATCACATCTTCACTATTTGTTAACAGATACAGTATGCCAAAAAATACATTGCGTCGTACAACTGTAAAACTATGGTAAACTAGGGTTACTGGAGGTTTACATTGGAGGTCCAGGTCATACATCTAAAGTGCCACTGATAATGGTTCTCTCAATCAACAACACGGGAAACTTAGCAGTATATATAGCTGACCATATGTGCTAGAACTGTTATTAAGTAAAGATATTTTGAATGGGAGTATGGGTTTCCTGTGGTGTCAGTTTTGTTTGACATATTCCAAAGCGCTCTGTTTTGAGATAGATTCTGATAATTTGGTATTTATGCTGTTTCTTATTGTTGTGAAATAGATTCGGTTTCTGACATTTCTGAATGAGTGATGGGAGTAAATATAGGACACGATGAGGAAACCGTTCTGTTAGTATCATGCTGATCACAATAACTGCTCCTCATATTGCTTCCGCAGTATATTCGATTTTGTAGAGTTTGCAACTATGAACATTTGAAAGATGATTATCATTTTTTGTTCATATATATCATATTTAACAAAGCGTGTTTCTCAGAAAAATCTGCTTTTAAATAGACAAAAAAATACAGATATTTCAACTATGTACGATGTTTCTCAATTAAAAAGACTTCTATGTGATTTATGTTAAACTTCATGCAACAACATGACCGTGTCCAACTGCATTATTGCATTGTCTGCCACAGTATTTAATTGTGATTGTTTACTGATGGACTGGACAGTATTTAATTGTGATTGTATACTGATGAGCTGGAAGCCTTAATATAAATGAAAAATTCAAATTGAATTTTTGTCATGTTATAAAAGGTGCCTTTAATGATAAATGTTATTATGTGAAAGCTCGAAGTTTTCAATTCCTGTATGTGTTCAAAGCCAGCTTAGTCTTTATTATTCATACCAAACTGTATAGTCTTATTCCTAATGATAAATGTTGTTTTGACTAGCAGGACATTGCTCATTTCCACTAAATGTTAAGATGGTTGGTAGGCGGAACACGATTCATCCGTAGGTATAAATAGTAAAGTTTGTCTTGAACACAAACAGGGATTGAAAACTTATTCTGCGAGCTTTAAAACACTTCTGTTTACTTTGTGAAGCAACGAGTGCAAATGACCGGTGTCCCGACTATTAACGCCGAAAACAACTCACTAAGCCTCAGTATGCCTAATCAGTGCATAGCTGGCTAAAATAGCTGGCCTAATCTGTTGTCGTACACACCTATTTTTGTACCGAGCTGGCCTATTTTGTCACCATACTCCCCTTATCGGTTGTCGTACACACATATTTTTGTACCGAGCTGGCCTATATTGTCACCGTACTCCCCTAATCTATTGTCATACACAACTATTTTTGTACCGAGCTGGCCTATATTGTCACCGCACTCCCCTAATCTGTTGTCGTACACACCTATTTTTGTACTGAGATGGCCTATATTGTTGCCTACTCCCCTAATATGTTGTCGTACACACCTATTTTTGTACCGAGCTGGCCTATATTGTCACCATACTCCCCTTATCTGTTGTCGTACACACATATTTTTGTACAGAGCTGGCCTATATTGTCACCGTACTCCCCTTATCTATTGTCATACACAACTATTTTTGTACCGAGCTAGCCTATATTGTCACCGTACTCCCCTAATCTGTTGTCGTACACACCTATTTTTGTACTGAGCTGCCCTATATTGTTGCCGTACTCCCCTAATATGTTGTCCTACACACATATTTTTGTACTGATCTGGCCTATATTGTCACCATACTCCTCTAATCTGTTGTCGTACACACCTATTTTTGTACCGAGCTGGCCTATATTGTCACCATACTCCCCTAATATGTTGTCGTACACACCTATTTTTGTACCGAGCTGGCCTATATTGTCACCATACTCCCCTAATCTGTTGTCGTACACACCTATCTTTGTACCGAGCTGGCCTATATTGTCACCGTACTCTACTAATATATTATCATACACACCTATTTTTGTACCGAGCTGGCCTATAGTGTTGCCGTATTCCCCTAATCTGTTGTCGTACACACCTATTTATGTACCGAGCTAGCCTATATTGTCACCGTACTCCCCTAATCTGTTGTCGTACACACCTATTTATGTACCGAGCTGGCCTATATATTGTCGCTTTACTCCCATAATCTGTTGTCGTACTCACCTATTTTTGTACCTAACTGGCCTATATTGTCGCCATGTTCCCCTTATCTGCCACCCCAATCCCCTTATATGTTACCGTTCTCTCAATCACTGCATCTACTCCCTAAACCTGTCGCCAAACTACGTTAATAACTGTTTTCGTATTCCATTAAGCAATTACCGTACCCTGACTGTTTGTTACCGTACCCTGTCTGTCTGTTACCGTACCCTGTCTATCTGTTACCGTACCCTGTCTATCTGTTACCGTACACTGTCTGTATGTAACCGTACGCTGTCTGTCTGTTACCGTACCCTGTCTCTCTGTTACCGTACCCTGTCTGTCTGTTACCGTACCCTGTCTGTCTGTTACCGTACCCTCTCTGTCCGTTACCGTACCCTCTCTGTCTGTTACCGTTCCCTGTTTGTCTGTACCGTTCCCTGTGTGTTTGTTACCGTACCCTGTCTGTCTGTTACCGTTCTCTGTTTGTCTTTTACCGTACCATGTCTGTCTGTGACAGTACCCTGTCTGCTGTTACTGTATCCTGTCTGTCTGTTACCGTACCCTGTCTGTCTGTTACCGTACTCTGTCTCTCTGTTACCGTACCCTGTCTGTCTGTTACCGTACCCTGTCTGTCTATTACCGTACCCTGTCTGTCTGTTACCGTACCCAGTCTGTCTGTTACCGTACTCCCCTATTACGTTACCGTTTATCCTTTATTCCCATACTTCGTCAATCTTCTCATAAAATGGTAAAGCAAAACACAATATTCATACAGAAATATTTTCATATTTGAGAATATTTGTTATAACAAAATGACATTTTCTGTATCGGTATACTGTTATGATATCGATATGTATTTACATGTATGATCAAAGCAGAACGCCAAACTTTGTTGTCAAACGTAGGAGCGAATGATAGCACATTACACATATCACAAATTGTTTTTTCATAAAAAATATTCGGTTAACCATTACCCGTTAACGTCTAAGTGTATCAGTATTTTTAGCGCCCGGAACATAAAAACAAGATGTATCGGCTTAGCCTGTATGAAGACAGGCCATTTATGAGTACACGTAATTGAATAATGTGTTAAGGTATACGTGTATTGATGGATACCTCCTCTAAGTGATAAATACACGGTAGTATTGAAACAATTATAATATCTCAGGACGAGCACCGTTCTTCATACACACTTGTGATAAACACAGTGTCAGCTTTACAGACCCAACTTGTTAGTTATGACATGGTCAAAAATTCCATATTTCTAAAATAATTTAATCATTTGATTAAGGAGATTTGTATATTATGTAAACTAGAATACATTTATACCACATCGGCAATACCCAAGAACCCAATCTCGATTAGAATAAAACTGCACAACAATAGAAACGGGAAAAATACAATCAAGGGACGATCAAGATAGTCATGGTGCATAGCTGTCAGACAGTTATGGTTGAGTTAGTTATTGGTTAACATTTTTTGTCTAACCAGAACAAAAATACGTTGATATACCGCATTAACTGTCACTTATGATCTCCGTCAGTTTTCATTGTACATGGTAAAATATGCGTCGTACTAGTACGTAGGACTGCGTTGTGTTAACAGCAT